GTGTACTCATGGCACCTTCTCTGAATTCCCCCACTTTTAACCACGGGTTATCCACCCTTCAGTGGATTCCACTGTCCTCCTTCCCCTAACTATGGGTGTCACGTCTTGCCCTTTCCGCACTCTATACCCTGGGCATTCTCCTTCCGCTCCAAATCCCGCTTTTCCCCCGGGGGAGCACCCCAAATCCTGCGCACTCACATTGCTCTTCTGAGCTGCAGTGAATCTGCTCACCTGCCCGACACCTCCGTGTGGGAGTTGCAGTATTATCTCAGGCTTATCGTATCTAAAATGGGGATTCGTCTTCCTCCTAAGCTGACTTTTTCCTCTGGGACATCAGGCTTTGCTGATGGCACCTCTCAGTCCCCACCCTCCCTGTAAATCACTTTGGATTCATTTTTTCTTTTCTTTCCCTCTCCCCAACCATGTCCCATCACTAACTCTAGGCCACGCCCACAAGCCACGCCCCCCGGGCACCTCTTCCTCCACACTTGCGTCATGGGAGGCAGTGCAGCCCTTTCTCCCTGCCCCCTGACTGCTCTTCCCGCTGTCAGTCTTTCTTCTGGTTCTGCGCTCAGCATCGGATTGATTTCTGTAAAGCATTGCATCTAAGTCATGTCGGATTTCACTCCCTTCGGGATTAAAGCCCAGCCTCAGCCCTCCTTTGGAGCTCTTCATTGGCTGTCCCCAAACTCGCTTCCCAGCCCTCTCTTCCCAATCGTGCTGCTCTATTCCCCAGGCTCTGAACGTAAAGTTTTCTCTCTGGACCTTCGCTCGTAGTTCTCACTTCTTTCCTGCCACCTCGAACTTTCCAAATCCCTTCTCTTTTTGAGGTGTTCTGCGATGCTTTTCTGCAGGATGACTTATTTGGCCTCCCCATCCTGAGGAGTTCAGTCCTTCTGCAGAACAACCAGAGTTTATCTCTCAATGCCATGGGCCATCGAGTGGACCATGGACCAGCAGCACAAGAGCCTGTAAGAAACGCAGAATCTCAGGCTCCACCTGGGACCCATGGAGTCAGAATCTGCATTTCAATGATGTGCCCGGAGGACTTGTGTGCACATTTAAGTTTGAGAACAACTTACTGAGGACAGGAACTTGCTTTTTTGGGGAGTAGTCTTCAGTGAGGGCTGGTGGTGTTCTCGTGTGTCAAGTCAGGTGACAGCTGCCACATCTGGCCAGATCCCATGAGCTTTGAGAGGCACCGGACAGTAGAGATGGCCGACAAGCATGCAGACTCCACCTGGACACTTCCTGCCTGGATTCCATGCCCCACAAGGCCCTGGAGCTCACACTCTGTACATCCGACTCCGGAAGGCACTCTGGCCACATGAGGAGGAATCAATTAATCAATAAAAAAGCAGTTATTGAGCATACAGCAGAACATTTCCCTCTTCACAAAACACACAGTGGTTAAAAGTGTCTGTTATTTTAATGTATGTTTTACAAAGATAAATATGTATTTAGTGTTTTCTTTATGGCAACATTAGTACAGTTCCTAAAGAGGTAACACAATATGTCGCATGAAGAAAATAAAAATGACTCACAAGTCTACTCCCCAGCTGTAAATACTATTAATTTCATATTTATTATAGATCACCATTCATTCATTCATCAAACATTTACAGAGCCCTACTCCATGCCAGGCCTGTGCTGGGGACTGGGGATTCAAGGTGGAGAAGAGCACAGGGTTCCTAATTTCAAGCAGCTCACCCCCAGGGGTGAGGTGTGGGAGGCAGGCAGCGAACCAGTCACGAATGACAGTGTATCCATTTCCTAGGGCAACCGTAACAAAGTGCAACAGACTAGATGACTTAAGCAGCATAACTTTATTTTCTCACAGTCCTGGAGACTGGAAGTCTCAGTGTTGGCCAAGTTGGTTCCTTCCAAGAGCTCTGAGGGAGACTCTGTCCCATGGTCTCTCCTGGGTTCTGGTGACAGCTGGCTCTCTTTGGCATCCCTGGGCTTGTTGCTGCATCACCCTCATCTCTGCCTCCATTGTCACACGGCATCCTCCCTGTGTCTCTACCTTCACACGCCAGCTTCCTAGGAGGACGGCAGTCATAGTGGATGAAGGACCCACTCTACTCCAGAGTGACCTCGATCTAACTGAGAAGGGCTGCAGTGACCCTACTCTGAGGTCAGATTCTGGGATACCAGGGTTAGGGCCTCAACGCATCTTCTGTGTGGGGACAGAACTGAAGCCGAGGCAGTTCTGTGCTGCCGAGGCAGAACAGGCAGAGACGGTGCAGTCGGGATGACTCTCCCAGAAGACGGCACTCAAGCTGGGACTAACGCGCAGGGATGGCCGGCGAAGGTGGCGTAGCACACATCGGGGCCTCGGGACTTGAGTGGGGAGGCAGGCTGGAGAAGAGCATTCCTGGCAGGCAGCTGACAAAGTGGCACTTTTAAAGAAATGAAAAGGCCGATGTGACTGGAACGTGGAGGAGGGGCAAAAGCATGGGGTGAGCTGTGTCACTGGGCCTGTGGGCCTTGGTGAGGGCTGTTTAGTCTCTCCCTCGGGCGACGGGCAGCTGCAGGAGGCTGTCACTCGGGAGGGATTCATTCTCCTTTGTGAACTGTCTGAGGGCTGTGTCGTTCCTCTCTGTCCCCAGTTTGAAGGGAAAGGGAAGGCGCATGTCCTCAGGAGCCCCCTGGCTCAAAGAAGACATGTGGCAGCCCTGTCCAAGGAACAAAGGCACAGCCCTACACCCCCAGCAGCCCCCAGTCCAAGGTGGGAGTGAGAAGCCCTGCACTCAGGAACCTCATTGAGAACAGAACATGGGGCTCTCCCAGCTCTGAGACACAGGTTCGGGCCTGGCCACCCTTCCCCCGCTCTGTCGTGAGGACTGTGTCTGAGTGTGCGTCTAGGGCAAGCACGTGACCCATGTGGGTCTCTGAGGCCAGAGGCCCCAGTGCTGGTGGAGACCAGGGCTTAGGTCTTGCAGGGGACCTCTCTTCAGCATCCTGCTCTCCACAAGGGATGCCTGGATATTGCCTTTCTGGGCAGGACCCAGCCTCTCTGATGCTCAGCCCATCCCTTCCCATGCCCTCATGGCTGCCCCTTTACTGTGCATGAGGGGAGGGAGCCCTGTGCCCAAAGCTGCCTGTCTGCCCTTGCCAGGGCTGGGTGGGCCAGGCTGGGTGGAGAAGTGGGTCAGCTCGGTAGCCATGGTGACAGCCGCTGCTCCCTGCCAGCCTGCTCATCTCACCAGAAACCTCACCGATGAGCTCCTTTGTCCAGCCTGCTGGGATGGGGGCCAGGAGGGTGAGATCAGGGGCTGGAGAGTATATGGGTGTGCATGTGTGTTCCAGCTCGTGCAAGCGCCTGCTCAGAGATGGTGTGTGTGTGTGTTGGCCAAGGGAACCCAGGGACAAAGGTGAGACACTTCCCGGTTCCCTGGCCACTACAGAGATGGGGCTCTTCCTGCCTCTCTGGCCTGGATAGGGCTCAGGGAGGGGCACGTGTGTGAGTGTGTGAAGGCCTGTGGATGTCAGTGAGGCTGCCTCTGTGTGGCTGAACATCTCAAAGGTGCGTGCGCATATCTGCATGCATGTGATTGTGTCTTTAAGTGCGTATCATCTGTATGGGTCTGTGTGGTGTGGGATCACACATTTGGGACACTGTGTCCTGTGTCTGCACTGGTGTGTGAAGTGTGTGTGTGTGAGCTCGTTTTGGGGGAGATAAAGGTTGCACCATCAGGAGAGGAGCTGGCACTGTGTTCCCCACTCGGGCTAGGTGTGCCCCTTCGGCCTAGCCTACCTCTCCCACCACATGCCAGCTTTGTTACCCACCCATACATCCCTGAGGGGGAAAGAAAATTCTAGAAACAAGGGGACTCCTCTCTCCTTTGGTGGATGGTGGCACTGACAGGGGCACAGCCTGGCACGGGCGATGTGGTGGGCAACCCTGGTGCTGGATGGGGTGGGCGGGGATCTCAAATGCCAGGCCTAGCATCCAGCCATGAGCTGAGACGCTGGCGAAGGAGGGCATAGCCTCACGTGGCAGCTCCCAGCCCAACTGAGGTACAGGGACCAGATCCCACACTGGTCCTGGGCTCTGGGTGGAAGCACCGGAGCTGGCGTGGGAGTTGAGCCTGTTGGTCTCTGAGCCTTCTAACGAAGTGGTTGCACCTGGTGTGTAAGCCCGTCCAACAAGCACTAGCACCTGTGCAGTCCTTCACCATTTACAAAAGGCACTGCTATGAGTAGTAACAATGCAATTGCCCAAGTGAGCATTTAGCATGTATCAATCCTTATTTTGTAATGTTTCATCTAAGAATTCTAAGGCTGTCTTTATTATTCCCAGTTTAGAGATGAGGAATGGTAGGCTCAGGGGGCTTGTGAGGGAAATGTCCCTGTGTCACACAGCGTATAAGTGGCAGATCTTAAGGTAAGTCTGTCTGCCTCCAAAGCCTAGGTTTTTAATCACTGTGCTTTTCTGCTCCTCATCATCTCACCTGCTCCCCATCCGGCCTGGAGCGTCCAACCGGTCCAGGTGCTAGTAGGTGCATTCTATAGAAGAGGAGATGGAGGTTCAGAGAAGCTCAGTGACTTGCTAAGGGTCACATGGCTGGGGGTGGAGCCAGGAGCCTGCCCCCGCCCCCGCCATCAACACTCCTGAGTGCTGGGCCTGTCTCAGGGCATCTGGGGAGGGACACAGACCCCATCAGTCAGGGGGAGCACGGAGGAAGGAATAGTAGTGTCTAGAGCCGATTAGCATTTGAACATAGATGAATCCTTCAGGTGTTAAGTCTTAAAGTTGTGGGTGGAGCTTTAGCACCAACAGCTTGAAGTTAAAAGTTCCTAAAGGCCCCATGGGGGACCCAGGAGTTTGGACAATGTTGTGAAGGAGGAAACAGAGAATAAAAGAATTGAAATGATTTGCTCAAGGCCACACTGCTGTGTCCAAAGTCTGTCTGTTTACTCCAGAAGCTACTGGAAGCCCTTGAGGACAGATGTCTTCTCTAGGCCCTCCTCTAAGCTCTCTTCTTTCCTTCCAGAGTCTTATCACATCACCTCCTCCTGGGAGCTACCCTGATTGCCTTCGCCTCCTTTCTTGGAAACTGGTGTCTCAGAAGTTAACTGAAGCCTGTGTCAATGCCCTAGGGGAGTGTGGTTGGGAGGGGCACAGCCCCCTGGGATGCGGAGCACCACGCACAGATTTGTCAGTTCGGTGAGTTTGGGCTTTCTTCAAGGTGGAAGGCAAGGAGGAAGCATCTGACAGGTGATGTGGAGTCTGGGAGTTAGGAGGGTTGGGTTGGAGCCCTGATTTTGTTGCCCACTTTCTATGTGCCCCTGGGAGTGTCTCCCATTCTGGGCCTTGGGTTCCTACCCCACAAACCCAAGAAAGGCTCAGACTGGGTTAAGGATGGCAAACCCGTTTTCACTCTGGAGCTGGTTCTCATCAGTTGGGTCTGACGCAGTGTCAAAAGTGATTCAGAGGTTAAACTTGCCTCGATGGGAGAGGGATGGGTTAGCGATGTCCGCTGTGGGTGGAAGATTGGGAAAGGCGGTAAGAGCCTCGGTTATTTGCCATCTCTTTCAGACTAACAGCCCATCATCCTGTGACAGGTTCCTTGGTCTTTCCTGTTGAAGGGTGGGTGGTTATGTTTATCTTGGATGGTCTCATTGACTCTCAAAACAAAAAGCTCATCTGGTTAGACATACGGTCAAAGGGACCAAGGGGCCCAGGGTGGCTTGGCAGAGCCCTGAGACCTGCTGTTGTCAGGACTCAGAAGACAGTTGTGGGGGACCTGAGGGCACTGAGACCTCAGGGCAGAGGCCAGACTTCAAGGGCTGGAAAGAAAAGGTTTGTTCCTTGGGGAGCCTGGAAGGTGCCTGCTGGTGTGGAGCTTTGGCGGGAGTCAGGGCAGCAGCCAGAGCAGCCGCTTCCTCCCTAGAAGATAGATCTGAGCTGTGGTCATAGATGCTGCTGCAGCCGTGCAGCAGGGTCAGCAGGGAGAACTTAACAGTGAGGCCCTGGGACCCAAGGACATTGAGGAAGAACTCCTTTCCTTGGTCCTGGAAAGGGCAGTCCTGCTCAGAGGCAGGACATTGTTGAAGGATTTTTGTGGCAAGACTGCCATTCCTTTAGCAATCTTTGAGAACCACCGGAATGTGCGGCGCCGTGTTCTGCGTCCTGCTGGCCCCTCTTCCCCTCCTGCCCCCTCCTGTCCTGTGGTCCGATGGCTCAGGGGCTGCTGCGTAGCAGGACTTCCCTCCTCAGAGGGACCAGGTGGCCAGCTGTGTCTCTTTCTGTAGTGTTTTTGAGCTAGACTGGCTGCCAGAGCAGCAAGTGGAGCCCTAGTTCTGAGCCTGCTAGTTCACGGACTCTGCTCTCCCAGGCGAAGGGACTTTTAGAGCTCACCTAGTCCAAGCCCTTTGTTTTACACACAGATGAGGAAACCAAGGCCCAGAGAAGGTAATACAAGAAACCTATACGTTCTGATCCCACCTCCTGATTCTTAGTCCTCCTGGCTACCTACCCAGGACTCATGTACTGGGGGTCAGGCCCCGTGACCTCGGGCCCAGTGCTTTGGACCTGGCTCCTCCTATCCCCTTGAGGATGGCAGGCCTGACCGGCCCTCCCAGGTACTCCTCAGCTTTCTAGGCTCCCTGGGTAGTTAAAGATGAGAGTGGCCCTGGATGGTGCCGAGTCCTGGATGTCAAGCCATCCGCTGTTGGTGCCATTTATTATTCATGAGGAAATATGAGTCCCTGGGTTGGCAGGGTCAGGAATTTTGTCCCTTACCCTCTTTCCTTCTCGTCCCCTGGGAGTAGTGTTCTTGAACTTCCTGTAGTCTGGCTACTCTGGGGCAGCTTTCTCAAAGAGCCCAGAGACTCGGGGCAAAGTGTGAGCAGGAGGGTTGGGCCCACGTCTTTGGGTGGGATCTGGGTTGGAGGGGCAGGGGCTGCAGAGTGCGTCTGTCTCTTTGCTGAAATAGGGGCCCTGCATTTGAGTGCAGGCCTTGCCACTTCTTAGCGGAGTGGAGTGGGCAAGGCCTCGATGTCTTTGAGACTCAGTTTCCTCATCTGTGACATGGAAATAACTACACACCTGGCAGAAATACTTTCAAGAGCAAGCGAGGCTTCCACTGTAGCGGATTCAAAGGATCAGATAAGCTCTCTCCCACCATCCAGCAGAAGACCATGCAGAGGCCCCCAAAACACACCAACTGGCACTAGAATTGGAAAGTGAAGAGAAGAGATCATCATAGGCCCAAGTCCAGGGGACTTTCCATTAGCCACAAGGTTGATGGGGGGTGGATGGAGAAATACAATCCGGGGCTCAGCACACATCACAGGGTGAGCGAGAACAGTCCCGACAGCCACAAAGAAGGCAAGGCACCGCTGTGACTCATCCCCACTGTCAGCCCTAATTCTCCAGCCAGCGGGAGCCATCCTGACCAAGAGATCAGACTGCATTGTCAGCTATCTGGGGACTGTCTTCCTCGTTAGCTGGAGGGGTGCCTTCCCTTTCCCACCTCTGTTTTCCCACCCCTTTCTTTGTCCTTTTGAAAAGCTGGGTTTCCTCAGGGTGACAGGCCTGAGGACAGAGGGTCAAGCAAAGTGCTCCTGAGCCCGGGGAAGAGGGGCTGCCTAGGAAAAAGACTGTGGGCCGGGTGCAGAGCATGCTGGAGGGGCCTTCTCTCTGATACACGGCCTGAGCATCACACTTCCAGTCAGGTTGAAGGGCTGATAGCCAGAGGTTCCACCTCTGTATACAGAGCCACCGGTTCCTGCTGCCTGACTCCCCAGAGTGGCTCTCAGCACCCTCTGTCCTCCTCCCCAGCACTCATCAGAACCATCATGAAATATTCAACTGCATAATTAGTTACTTACTATCTCTCTTCCTCCTGAACTGGAGGATTGAGGAGGGCAGGATGAAGGTGGATTGGCTCAGTACTGTGTCTTCGGCACTCAATACGGGCCTTGGAATTTTAGGGGCTTAAATGTTTGTTGAATGCAGCTAATGGGGAGAGTCCATTTGTATACTTTGGAAAGAAATTTAGCACTATATTCCAAGAATTGAAAAAATGTTTAGGCCCTTGGTATCTGGTAGGATGCTTTTGGATGCAACAGAGAACCCTGACTCAAACTGGCTTAAGCAGAGTAAAATACACTGTCCCACACAACGGGAAGGCCGGAGACAGGCGGGCTCCGGGGGGCCCACGGTCCTTTCTGTCTCTGTGCTGTGCTGCCCTCAGCAACACTGGCTTCGTCCTAGGGCTGGGCCCTCCCTGGGGGAAGAGTTGAGAGAGAGAGAGACAGACAGACAGACAGACAGACAGACACTTCCGCCTCTCTCGCAAACATGGAATCCAAATCTTTCCCTGAAGTCGGATTGGGCTGACTTTGTCACATGCTCACCCTTGGATGAGCCGGTGTTACCAGTGTGAATGATGCTCAGTGATTGGCTGAAACTAACAGGATGGGGTGGGACTGGGTGAAACCGGTGCTGGGTCAGGAAGCAGGGAGAGGGGATGCACGTTGGGGAAGCTACTGGCAATGTCCACACCCTGTTAAACCAGTCACTCTATTAATGGGAATCAAGACTAAGGAAATAAGCAGATAAAATCAGTACAGAAAGATGTTTACTGAAGTATTATTTAAGACAGGAGGGAGATGGAGAGACAGACCTGATCTAAGAGGTAACTGTATTGAAATATTTAAATCAACTATGCTACTTCCATACAGTGGAATATTATGGTGGCATCAAAACTTTTATACAGTGTTAATGACATTGGGAAGTGTTTGTGATAGAATGTTAAATGAAAAATACCAGGATATAGCACTAATTCAAATGAACCTATACACCAATGTTCACAGCAGCACAATTTACAGTAACCAAGTGCTGGAAACAAACTACGTGCCCATCAGTAAATGACTGGATCAAAAAACTGTGGTACATTCACACAGTGGAATTCTATGCAGCAGAAAGAAAGCAGGAACTCCTGCCCTTCCCGACAGCATGGCTGGAACTGGAGAGCATTATGCTCTCTTCACTTCTCCAGTGAAGAAGTCAGGCTGTCAAAGACAAATACCATATGATCTCACCTAGAAGTGAAACCTAATCACCAAAACCAACAAGCGAGCAAGATAGAACCAGAGACACTGAAATAAAGAACAGACAGTAAGCAGAGGGGAGGGCAGAGGGGGATGACGAGAGAAAGAAGGGAAAAGGTCGTCAAGGAACCATGTATAAAGGACCCATGGACAAAGCCAAAGTGGGGTAGGATGGAAGGTGGGAGGTGGGGGTGGGTGGGGCGGGAAAAGTGGTGGCGGGAAAATGAAGACATCTGTAATTGAACAACAGTAAAAAAAATAAAAAGAAAAAAAAACCCAGGATATAAAGTTATATTTGCAGAATGAGTTCGATTATTTTTTAAATACATAGAAAACAGATTAGGAGGAAATAGATTAAAATGCTCATAGCGGCTGCCTCTCAGGAGTGCAGTTATGGGGGACTTTGACCCTCTTCTTTAGGCTTTTCTGAACCATCCCCCTTCCAGCAGGAGGGCCTCTCCCACAGCCCGCACAGGCCAGCGCCAGTTGTGTGCTGCCCGTTCTTAGTTTGGCTGTGAAACAACAAGTGCTGACTCTCACTGAATGTTTACTCTGTGCCTGCTGCTGTTCTAGGCACTTTCATGCGCACTGGTTCCATCCCTACAACACTCCCATGAGGTAAGTGCTTGTATTTCTTGTTTTGCTGAAGTGTTCACTGAAACCCCAGGATGCTGGGTCACAGGGTCACACAGATGGTATGTAGAGGCCTTAGCAATTCGAGAATGGGCCATTTGATGCACAGCCGCTGCCTTTCCCACCAAACCCAGCCACTTGCCAGGGAAGCCATGGGCTAATAAAGATAGTTCCATTTATTGAGCCATACTCTGCACCAACTTTTGAATCCTCGAAGCCTCAGGGAGGCCCAGAGACTTGCCCGAGGTCGCACAGCTCAGAAGCTGGGGCTGCAGCAGAGTGGCCCAGTGTCTGATGTGGTGCCTGCTTGCCTCTTTGTCTCTCCCACAGAGTTGCCTGAGGCCCTGCCGCCCCTTCGGACCATGTTTAACGGGGAGCCAGGCCCGGCCTCGGCCGCAGGCGCCAGAAATGTGGTTCGGAGCTCCAGCATCAGCGGTGAAATCTGTGGATCTCAGCAGGCAGGGGGCGGGACCGGGACCACCACCGCCAAGAAGCGGCGCAGCAGCCTCGGGGCTAAGATGGTGGCCATTGTGGGCCTGACCCAGTGGAGCAAGAGCGCACTGCAGCTGCCCCAGCCTGGTGAGGGGGTGAGGGAGTGCGGGGGTGTGGGGCGCCGAGGGCCACGGTGGGTCGCCTTCTGCCCAGAAGCAATCCTCATGGGTGTACACGCCCATAGCCACAGGCTCTTAGGTAGCACTTACCATGCACCAGGTGCAATTCTGGGTCCAGTACATGTCCTGACTCATCGAATTCTCCTGTGCCTCTGAGACCAGTACTGAAGCACAGAGAAGGGAAGTGAGTTGCCCCAAACTACATAGCTAGTGGGTGGTGGAGCCCGCATTCAAACCCCAGCCATTTGAACTCCTAACCATTACCCTCTGCTGCCTCCCTGCACAAGCGTACACGCTATTTAGGAACTGTTTGTTACACAGCCTCTGTGTTTCTGGCCCTGTGCTAAGTAACACAGCTTCACAGACGCACACGTCCACAAGTTGAGTCTCACCAGTAATCTCCGAGTTTCCTTCACACCACAAAGAGCCACACAAATACACGACAAAGTCACAAGAGAGACAAACCCCCACACAAAGATACACGCCTTACATAGTTATATAAATAGCATGTTCAGTTGCTTAGGTGAGTCGCTACCCTACTTCCAGGAAAGGACAATATTGTTATTTGTACTATACATGGTCATAAATGAAGCCAGTCCTGCAATTCACACAAGCACAGCCCTCTGAAACTGACAGACCCAGGTCACAGGAGCACCGTCTGTCTCTCCCTCTCTCACACACAGAGCGGCCCATGGTTACAGAAACATGTCACACACACGTATGCGCACCCCTCACAAAACCCCATGTTCACACACCATCTGAGCTGCACCCTGACAAACACATGATACTTTCTCGGACATCTAGTTATGGAATCCGGCTGTGCTCAGAGCAGTGGGCGACCCACCTTATCACATGCAGTCACCTGGACCCTGCGTCACAGACCCCCCAACCCGGACCTCCTCACCGTGGCATCAGCCCAAACACCAGCTGGTTGTGTATTAAAATCTCTTCCTGGTTGTTTTGCTCAGAGTAACAACTTCCCCAAGAATCCCTCAAATAGGCAGCTGGATGGGGGTGGCGAGGGGGCGGGGGTGCTGGAGGATCTGGGGAGAATGCTCATCAAGAGCCCCAGTTGGGGCTGGGGGTGGGGGACGTCTCCGGGCCTTAAAATAGCTTTTTACAAAGCCCTCCCCAGGGGGAATGTAGGATGGCCTTTCCCAGCACTCAAGCTGCAGTGTGGTTTCTGGCTCAGAGAAATGCTAAGTGACGAGGGGTCTTGCAGTGATCCATGCCCTGGGTGGGCACAGCCGCTGTGAATATGCAGTGTAGGCCTGACATGAAGCAGTCGGGAAGATGGGGACCAAGAGACCCAGGAGTTGAGCTGGGACAACACCAAGGGTGGCATTAGGGTTAGGAGGTTGAAGAGGTGTTGGGCCCCAGGAGTCGCATTGGGAGACCAGGCACTGCTGCTGACCTTCAGTGGAGTGGCTTCAGGGCCAATGGCTTCTTCATGTCGAAAGCCATTTGGAGGAAAAGTTTTTCAAGGCCAGGGCAGGGGCTCAAGTCACTGGGAAATGTTCCAGTGACCTGCCTGGGGCTGCCCACCCACTTGCACCACCAGTCAGCAGGCAGGGACTGGAGCAGACACCAACCTCAAGAGGTGATGAGTGGAGACCTGTAGCCTCAAGGGAGATGAGTGAGGATGGGGCTTCTGGACCGCTTCTCTCTACAGTGTGTTAGGGTGTGGCTGATGGCTGGGGCCAAGCCAGGGGATCACACAGATGCCCTTCCAGCTGAAGGTCCCTGTGACTCATCAATCACCAGATGTCAGAGCAGGAAGGTCCCCTTGAGATCATCAAGTCTGATGTGCTCATTTTATTGATGAAACATCAGAGCCTGAAGAGGGGAAGGCATTATCCTAAAAACAACTTCAAGATGGTCTTTAGGGCCACGCCCTGTTGTTTTTGAGCTGGGTGACTCAATAGAGGTACTCCAACTCTGCACTCACCACCGCATTTGTAGAACAAAGACAACAATCTGTACCTTGCAGAGTTGTCCAGGGGGTTTCATGACATAGGTGATGCAAAGGCACCAGCCTTGTACCTGGTAGGCACTTGGTGCTGTTGGTGTTATTGTTATTACCGAGGGTCCAATGGTAGGGCCAAAAATAAGAATTCTCTGGCCTTTACAGCTCCACCCCTTGCTTGCAGCATACCTCTCTCCCAGCTATAATTCCTTGTCCCCATTTTTTCTCCCAAGCCTTTAGGTTGCCAGTGGCCCAGCTTGGAATCCCATCCCGGGTTGGACAGTCTGGCTCCAGAGGGATGTACGGGGCTGGCTCAACTTGGGAATGGGCCCTGGAAACTCTCTTCTGGGAAGAGATCCCAGGAGAGTGTCCCGGTTGCCCCCAGGTGGGACGGCCTAGTTCCCTGCAGGGCCAGGCTGTGTGAAGTGGCAAGGAACCCCTGTCCTGGACCCAGTCTTCTGGGCCCTGGGTCTGCCTTCCCAGGGGCCTCCTACCTCCTAGCTCATCCATACTCAGCATTGGCTTGAGCTCCTCCTCTTTGTCTCAAAGCCTGGACTGTTACAGCAGCCTCCCCTTGAGTTCCTCTTCCTCCTGCCTACCCCTTTCACATTGCCCTAAGGTGGCTTCCAAAAACTGGTCTTGGCTCTAACTCCTCACGGGACCTTGGGAAAGTCACTTTCCCTTTGGGCCTGTTTCCTCTGTAAAATGGAGCTAAAAAGACACTCTCCCAGCTTTCTTCTAGATCCGAAATTCTCCAAGTTGTGGGGGCAGTGAGATGGGTGGGATAAGAATTTTGGGGTCCCAGGACACATGTGGGTTCTGGTCTAGCTTTAGACTGGGTCCACACAAGGCCGTCCCGGGGCTGTCCCAGCCCCTGGCCAAACGGCGCTCCTCTTTTCAGCACCAAGGACAGCAGCCCCGCTCTCATGGGCTCAGGGCTCTGGTTCAGGTGGGAAAGAGGGTTCGGTATCATCACTCCAAGAGACACCATGGTCCTCGACGCCCCACACCCCCGCTGTAATTGCCTCTCCCTCATAGATGCCGAGACAGGTGGGATGGTCCCTGGAGTCTTTCGGTCTCCAGGGACCACAAAATTATTGCAAGCAACTTGGCTGGGTTCTCTGGAGAAAGGGGCTACCTAAAGTTACTCCCCAGATCTTCAGGGTTCAGAGACTGGATAGGTACAAAACAGTAGAGGAATTTTCTCTAAGGTTGCAAGACCTCGCTCCTCACGCAGAAGACACAAAACTTCATCCCTGCCGAATCACATACCCACCCATGTGGAGTTGGTGGAGAAAGGAGTAGCACGTCAGCAGATGGGCTCAGCCTGGGCCTTGTGGGCGCCTGGCCCCCTCAGGCCCTCATCTGTGAAATGGCAGGGCCGGGGGGCTAGCTGCGTGTCTCTAACATGTTAGAATTCTGTGATTCCCCTACCAGGGGGTCACAATGGAATGGGCAGGTCTGATCAAAGACAGTAAATTTTCTTCCAAATAGGTCAGAGCTTTCCCGAGCTCTAGAAGAAAAGGACTGGGGTCAAGGGTGAGACTCTGGCTTCAGTTCAGCATGTGTGTTGGAGGGAGGGGGTTCAAGGGGAGGAAGGGTAAAGTGCAGATCCCACAGACCCACCTGTCTTCTAATTGGGTTAGAGGGTGTTGGCGGTTAGGGGCCAGGGACAAGCCAAGCCCCTCGACACCCACCGTTATTGCCCAGCCCCTCTGCATGTGGCAGGTCACCCACCATTTCTGAGTCTGCATCTGTGTATGTGATTGACTGGATAGGTTCAACTCCAAGTGTTACAGTGTGAAGATCACACTTATATGGCAGAGCATGTCATGTGTATATATGATTAAGACCTGACAGGACCATTTGTTACTGCTGTATGCACATACACATGACCTTGTATGTGAGACCACTGTCTTCATAAACGTGATCGATCGTCAGCACTTGTGTGTGTCTGCTTATGCCTGTTGGTATGAAAGAAGTATGAACGAGCTACTGTGACCGTGTGTCCAAGACAGAGAGAGAAATGTATTCCTGGATAGTTAGCTATTCCAATATCCCAGAAATGGGGATGGGTTCAAAGATGACGTTCCTCCTCACCGCCGCCCACTCCCAGCCCCCCCCCACCCCGGTCCTGCCTGCCAGTGATGCTGGCCCTCTTAGCCTTTCCTCTCCCAGTGGGACTTCCTGAAAGAGAAGTAGGACAAAGCCAGTGGAATAAACTCCCCCCTTTCCAGAGCCATGGTCTTGAATAGCCAGCTCCCCCTCCCCAGTGCTTTTGAGGGTGCTGCACTGGCTGTCCCACCCCCAGCCTCTCCCCAACCCTATAGGTAACTTCACTCTTAATTTGCCTGGATCTCTAACCAGTGATAGCAAATGGCTCCTTTGGTACAGACCCTACCCGAGCACCGCTTCTCTCCCCATGGGGCTCCTCAGGCAGCCAGGCTTCAGCAGGGGAAATCCCTGTAAACCCTCAACCCGTCTTCTGTGCCCTCCACCCCCACCCCAGGAGGAAAGGGTGTCTAGAGGGACCACACTGCAATGCTGAAGAGGTTGCCATGGAAACCCACGCAGGATGGTGCGCTGCTAGGAGTAGCAGAGTGCCCCGTGTTCCCTGCAAGTCTGAGCATGGGGCAGGGTGGAGGCAGAGGGCCCTGCGAACAGGAGGCACAGAGACATGGGCCAGGCTCTCGCTGCACAGCATCCAGGGCAGTCTGTAGACTTCTCTCTCAAAGCCAAAGTCACTTCAGGCCAACCTAGCTGCCCCTCTCTGTCTTGTTTCCTTAATCACCTCTTGTTAGTTTGGGGTGGCCAGGCTTCACAAGGGCTTTTATAGGAGCCATGAAGATATCAGTTGGGCTGTGAGACGTGAGCAACATAAGGTGCATGAGGGAGAACAAATGTGGCAAAAGGCAGACTTTCCATAAAAGAGAGGCAAGAACACAACTGTTTGGAGCAAGGGCTGAAATTGAGCTGTCAGGGCTCGGGCTGAGGGTGGAAGGCTTTGGGGCAGGGACTCCACCCTGGTGACTTCACACCCCGCCCACATCCCCATCATCCTGACTCTGCCTCCAGCCATCTTTCTAGTCTGCTTTGACTGTGTCACTGCCCTGAGCAGGGCCAGGGGTCAGGCTGCAAACCAGCTCTGGAGGTCATCTCAGCAATGCTCCCGCCTCCAGTCACGGCCCTGCCCAGCGTGCCCCTTCCCCAGCAGGGTGACTTCGGGCACGCTCTCAGAGAAGCCTCATTCCTGATCTGACCTTGTTCCCTTTCTGTGCTTTCGGGGGTCACAGAAGGGGCCACCAAGAAGCTGCGCAGCAACATCCGGCGGAGCACGGAGACGGGCATCGCCGTGGAGATGCGGAGTCGGGTCACACGCCAGGGCAGCCGCGAGTCCACCGACGGGAGCACCAACAGCAACAGCTCGGACGGCACGTGCGTGCAGCCCGCCCCACTGTGGTCCTCCCCATCCTGCCTGGTGCTCTGGTCACAGCGCGAGGGGCAGGGCGGGAAAATCTCCAGTTGGGTTTTCAGGCCAGATGTCTGGGATCCTCTGTCCCTGCCTCCCTCCATTCCCCTCCCCCGTGTCAGCTGCCTGGGCCCCATCTTCCTTTCGCTCCAGGCTGCTGGTTTTCATCCCCTCTGTTTATTTTCGTGCCTCTGCCTCCCAGCACCTGCACACTGTCTCACTCCAGGGGAGAGGGTTCAAAAGGAAAATGTGATTCGAAAATCCGTTAAATCTAAAACCATTGTCGTGGCTCAGATAAATGCAGCTCTCACCAGCGGCCTTGCTTGGGGATTAGGGGCTGCAGCTGTGTTTCTCAAGCTGAGTGGTGACACAGGCAGAACAGAAACTTGGTTTAGTGGGGTGAAACCAGCATTAGAAAAAGAAACAGAAATTTAATTGTATCATAAGAAGTAAGGATGAATTACCTTGTGAACTTGTGTTTTAGTTAGTTTTTTTTAATGTATGGGTATGCATAGGTCTATGACATGTATCTCATACATTTGCATGTGGGTTGCAGTAAAAAATTTGAAAGTGCCTCAGGTCTCTTCTAAATTATGAAACTATGGTGGCACCACTAAGATTTCCTGATTTGGCCCCATTAGGGTGCAGTGATTTCAGGGTTCCGTAGCTCTGTTGTTTAAGAGTCTGTGACCGTGTGTCTCACTGTCTCATTCAACACTCACAAGAATCCTGAGGGGTGCTGTTCCCCCTGCAGAACTGAGACAGCAGAGGACGGTGAGGCACCTGGCCCAAGGTCATGACTATTAAGTGGTGATGGAGTCAGGATTTGAATGAAGGTCACTTGGCTCTCTGACCTTTGTCCACAGTCCCCACACTCTCTATACCGAGCTGCTGAAGTTCTGTGACCTCCAGAGCAGATTTCTTTCTTTAACCTTCTCAGAGCCTGTTGTCCTCAGGATGTGATGTTAGGCCATCGCTGACTGTGGCCAGTAGGAGTGGGTGACCCTCAAAGCGTCTTCCTGGGGGTGGAGGAGAGACACAGGCCCTGTCTGATAAGCCTGCTTCCCCTCCCTGCCTGTCACTGGCCAAGGGGCACTTGTGGCCAAGCTGTCCAACAGGGGATTTGTTCTGGGACAAGCTTTGATCTCTCTAGCCAGCAGCCTGAGCAGTTTCAGATCTTAGGGCTTTCTCTGGTCCACTGCAGCTCACGAGTAGACCTGGGCCAGCCCTCCCCCATCTGTCCTTTCTCTGCCGGCACACCCAGAACACCGAGGCTTGAGGACATGAACAGGGAACACTGTCCCTCCATGATAACAATGGCAGCGATAACTACCATGTATCGGTTGTCTGAAACTTTTCACTCACCATCTGTCCTAATTCCTACCATAAAAATGCCTGAGTTGGACATCACCTCGGTTTTGTGGGCAAGTCTCTAACATCGTGAACCCTCTGTTTTCTCATCTGTAAAACTGGATGATGGGTCCTGCCACACTGAGTCATCATGAGGATGAAACTATGACGCATGGGGAGCGTTCAGTGCACTCTTGGCACCTGGCCAACTTTCAGGGACTGTCAGCTTAACTTGTTGCTATTCCCCGGCCCCCACAAGCACGGCACACCATCAATCGTCACCAACCATGTTATTCTGGACTCAGCCACTATTCTGGCCACTACCTCATGTTATTGACTTGACCTCAAACTTAGAGTCACCTCAACCTCAGGTCTTGAAACTGCTTCAGGCATTAAATTTCTGTCCTATGTCTCTGGTTCCCGGCATTCACATCCCCTGGTGAGGACACAGGTGTTCAGCAAGGCCTGCCTTTTAAGAGTCACCTTAGAGCCCTGACCGGTGTGGCTCAGATGCTTGGGCGTCATCCCGTGAAGCAAAATGTCTCTGGTTGGATGCCTGGTCATCAGTCCCCAGTCGGGCACGTGTGAGAGGCAACCGATCTGCTGAGTTTTCTCTCTCACATCAGTGTTTCTCTCCCTCTTTTTCTCCCTTTCCCTCTAAAAGTAAATAAATAAAATCTTTTTAAAAAGAGTCACCTAAGCCCTGGCTGGTGTAGCTCAGTGGATTGAGCACGGGCCTGCGAACCAGACAATCGCGGTTCAATTCCCAGTCAGCACACATACCAGGGTTGCAGGCCGGTTCCCTGCAGGCCAGTTCCCAGCAGGGGGCGCACGAAAGGCAACCATACATTGATGTTTGTCTCCCTCTCTCCTTCCCTTCCCCTCTACAGATAAAAAAAAAATCACCTATCGTTATGTTAGGTTCATTAGTCTCTATTCTTAAGTAATATCAAAATATTTTCTTAATGTACAGAGATGAACAGTTCTCTCTGTCCCAAGCCAAAATAGTCCACCACCCGCCATGTGGAGGGGAGATCGAGGCTCAGGGGAGAGTCCCCAGTGCCTCAGAGGCGGAGCCGCTGTGTCCCGCCAGCCAGATGCCCTGGTGTGAGCCTCTGCCTTCTTCCCCAGGTTCATCTTCCCCACCACCCGGCTTGGGGCCGAGAGCCAGTTCAGCGATTTCCTGGATGGGCTGGGACCAGCCCAGATTGTGGGGCGACAGACGCTGGCAACTCCACCAATGGGTGAGTCTTCTTAAGGTGGGGTGAGTAGGGTGATGGCAGCCGCACAGCAGAAAGGGTGAGCTCAGCGGGGCCCTGCGCGATCCAAGCAGCAGGAAGGAGCCCTCACTCGGGCTTCTGAGGAGTGAGCAGGGCACTTGTACACCCCTCCCCCCTCAGAGGAAGGCCACCGGCCGCAGCCTGGCCAGCACACTCCCTCCCTCACTTCACCACACTCCCTGTGTGCCAGCACTGCCCATGCTGGATGTAAAATGGTGGGTGCGGACCATCGTGACATTGACTTTCATGGGTTCTGTTCCGTCACCAGTTCTCTGGTGGCCTTGGGAAGGTCCCTTCTTTGAGCCTGTTTCCTCATCTGTAAAATGGGAATAAAGATACCTGCCTTCTTTCTGCAATCTATTTATTGAGTTTTGTTTGTTCGTTTTGATACTCCGCACGAAGTTTCCACTGACTCCTTAGGAACTGTGTCTCATTTGACTCATTACTCCTAACAGTGTCTGGCACCTAGAGCCTTCTAGTAATTTTCTTATCCCCTTTCCTGCTGCTAAGAAGGACTTCCCGAAGTCTGCACTTGGTCATCTTAGCTGCAGTTCTGGCTCCCTCCTCTCTCTCCCTTAGATATTGGATGTGTTGGCTTCAGGCAGCCCCTCCCAGGCCCAGCTTCCCCAGAGATGCTGCCTCGCTTCCACCCTCTTTCCCATTAGTCTGACTTAAGCAGTGTCTGACCCAGACAACGGCACTGACCTCACAGCAAATGAGGAAGCTGAGTGCAGTCAGCGCCCAGCTGTGAGCCATACAGTGGGCTGGGTTTCATTCCAGGCCAGGACTCTTCCCACTGCACTGCCCTGTCTTCCTCCATGTGCTCACATGGGAGCCTCTGTCTGCTAGAAAAGGGGTCCATGGAGACCCTCAAAGGGTGTGCATCAGATCTCATCTGGCTCAGGATTTAGACCTGGCTAATTGTCAGCCCTTGCTTTCAGACACTTAAGGGCCTGGGGAGTCTGCTTTTCCTAGCCCTTGGCCCAGGCAGAGAGGGGAGTCAATCACTTCCATAAGCCAAATGCGCCATCACAACTCAGAACCGTGTATGTGGTGCCCCCTGGTGTCCCAAACTGGAAGTGACAGTTTTGCGATTGCCCATCTTGGGGGATGTTATAGTGAGACAGGGAAGAGATCAATTCCTGAAACATCCCCTCCCAACTTCCCCGTAGGAGGCCAGGGGTACTTGGAGGGAGGGGGATGAATTCAAGAATGTCTTTGTTTGTATTTGCATCTTCCCAAGTACCAAAAACAAACAACAGCATAATGGCTCAGAGAATCTAAAATGGGTGGCCGAACCCACAGTCTGGCCTATTTTAGTTTTTCTGCACCCGGCGTATGAGTCTGCAGTCCCTTGAAGGATGTTCCAAGTGACTAATGCATAGTTTCAAATTCCAGCAGAATTTGATCAGAGCCAAGAGTTCTGGAAATCAGATAACTGATGAGACTCCACCATAGGACTTGCCACAACTGGATAACCGGTTTTGCAGAGCACAGTGAGGAGTTCTTAGTGCTCTGCCCTGGGAAACCCATTGGCCTCCCCTCATCCTTCAGCAGGGACAAGGGCGCCAGCCAGCCCTCAATCCGGGGTGCGCCTCTGTGTCCTGGGCAGGCTGGAATCTCAGCCTCTCTTCAAGCTGCTATTCTTTGTTTGTTTGTTTGGCTTGTATTTAGAGGAGTGGCTGAGGGCTGCTGTGGAGAAGGTGAGTACGAGCCTCTGAGCCCACAGCCTCCCTCTGTTTTCCTGACGCTGGAAGCTCTGGCCCCAGACTTGCCTATTCTGCTCAGTAAAACAGAAGCCCCTCGGTTAACCAGACTTAAATGGGGCTTCGGCAGCCATTTTTGGTCCGCAAGCATGTCTCTTGAGGGTCCAGCCCTCACCTGCCCCAAGAGATCTTTTAAACTCAGAACCTTCCTCAGCTGCTTTGAAGTGGTCTCCGGAGGGCTGTTCTCACACTCAAAGTTTTCTTCACCTTGTGCCCCATCCGGGGTTGTAGTGTCCTTTGCAGACCAGCATTCTGCACAGCGCTGGCTGCTCTGCCCTGGTCCGGCTCTGCCTGGACTGTCCCTCTTCTCCCTTGCAGGGGACGTGCATGTTGCCATCATGGACCGGAGCGGCCAGCTGGAGGTGGAAGTGATCGAGGCTCGGGGCCTGACCCCCAAACCTGGTTCCAAATCCCTCCCAGGTGAGGCTGAGCAGCTGGGAGAAGGACTTTGGAGATGGGGTCCTGCCAGGGAGGGGCACTCAGCCGAGCACTAAGTCTAATGAGTCCTCAGTTCCCCATTGTCCTAAATCGGTCTTCTGGACACTGGAGCCACGGCCCGCCCGGAAGGCCAGTGAGTCGGGGCAGGGGTAGGAGAGGATGGAGGAGTCATTGTTTGAGTCAGTCTCTTCCACCTTCCGTCCACCGGTCAGCTCGCCCTGCTCACCTCCAGGGCCACCTGGGGCATAGCAGTCCCTCCTGGACTCCTCCCCATCTTGTTTTCTCCCATCCTCAGCCACCTATATCAAGGTTTACCTGCTTGAGAATGGGGCCTGCCTGGCCAAGAAGAAGACAAAGGTGGCCAAGAAGACCTGTGACCCCCGGTACCAGCAGGCTCTGCTCTTTGACGAGGGGCCGCAGGGCAAGGTGCTGCAGGTGAGTGTGACTGGGCAGCTCTCCAAGACTGCAAGTCACAGTTTGAAATGTGTTCCACTTATGATTCACCCTGCGCCAGGTGCTTTGATACGCATTGGCCGTTTATTTTCACAACCCAGTAAGGTGTTATTGCCCCTGGTTGATTCATAAGGGCACCAAGGTTTGGAGGGTGACTTGATTGTCCCCCGGCTTCTGCCTGGTGCTGGTTTCATTGCACATCGGCTCCGCACAGGACTCGGTGGTAACTGCTTTCCACCTGTGACCTCGCTTCAGCCTCGAGATGATCCCGTGAAGCTGGTGTGGTTCTCCGCATTTTACAAGTGAGGAAACAGTCTTAGAAAGATGAAGCGACTTGCGTGAGGTTTTAGCTAGGGACCTAGGGACCAGCCCAGGTCAGGGTAACAACTCTCACCCCAACTACGTGAGAGTGACAAACCCTTCACCACGGTCCTGGGAGGAAGGGGTCATCATACCTGTTTCATAGGTGAAGTGACCCAGGCGGCAAGAGGTTACATGGGGGTAGAACACAATCCTGGGTTCAGTCCCGAGTTCAAGTTCTGGCGTGATCGCTTACTAGCTGCAGTATGAGGTGAAGGTAAAATGAGAGACGCCTGTAAAGGGCCTCCCGTGGCGCCTGGCACAGACAGCTGCTCGCTAACTCTCAGCAGCGGCGGGGTTGGGGGACTGTCGGCCTTGCCTGAGGCCATGCCGGTGGTGAGGGGAGGCTTGCGCCCGGGGCTGTCTGGGTTGTGGGGCAGCTCATCTAGGGCTGTTGCCCTGGGCTGAGGTGGTTCTTCAGCAGGGGGCGCTTGGAGTGCAAGCAGTAGGAACAGATGAACCCCAGGGTTCGGTGGGGGAAGTTCAGTCTTGGTTGTTTTGGTTTTTTATATATATTGGGATTCCATTTTGAAAAATGAATTCACCAATAAAAATACCTCAAAAATCACTGAGCTAATCTATTCTCCTCTCCCAGTTTTATGGATAGATGGGAGCCCTGAGGTCCAGTGAGGGCCAGGGGCTTGCCCAGGCCCAACTGAGAGGCGGGGGCAGAGCTGGAGCCGTGACGCAGGTGCTGGAGTGTCAGTCTGCTCCTTCCTGGAGAAGACTGTGGCCTGGGATGCTGGGAGGCTCCACGAGTCGGGCCCGGCGTGCATGCCCAGCTCTGCCACCAATTACTGTGTATCTTTTGGTTCATTAGTAACCTCTCTGAGCAGCAGTTTCTTCTTTGTGGAAATAATACACAGTACCTCTACCTGAACAGTTGCGACAGTTGAGATGATATATATATAAAGTCCGTAGGTTGGAGCCTGGCACTCCTTAAGTGCGCAGTGAGCTGTTGCTTGAAATCAGCGAGCTGCAGCTCTCTCTGTCCCATCTGTGCCCTGGTGAGACGTGTGGGCTCCTGGGCCCACTGCCCAGCCCGGAGTCGGGGAGGCGGCTCAGTTCCTCTCTCTTCCTCCCCACTGGTAGGTGATCGTCTGGGGAGACTACGGCCGCATGGACCACAAGTGCTTCATGGGCATGGCCCAGATCATGCTGGACGAGCTGGACCTGAGTGCCGCCGTCACCGGCTGGTACAAACTCTTCCCCACATCCTCCGTGGCAGACTCCACACTCGGATCCCTCACCAGGCGCCTCTCCCAGTCCTCCCTGGAGAGTGCCACCAGCCCCTCATGCTCCTAAGGACCTCAGGAAGAGGCTGGGGTGCCTGCTGGCACCTCTCCTCCTCCCCTGTACATAGTCTCACGTCTTTCTGGCCCCTCGCCCTGCTGCATGCCTGTTGGCTACTGGGCACGTCCCAGCTGGCAGTGGAGAGTGTAGTCTGTGTGTGTGTGTTTGTGTGTGTGTCCGTGTGTGACCATGTTATATGTGTTCACTTCTCTGGGTACCGTCAGTCTTGGTGACCACATGGGCTGAAATCCATGTCCCTCTGTGTCTCATTGACAAGAAACCTAAGTGAGTGTTGTGTGGACATGACCCCCCCCCCAGGCCAGGGGTAGAAGAGGGAGACGTGGCCCGGCCTGGTCCTGTGCTGGGGCAGAGCCCCCCTGTGCCCGCCTGTGCCTCTCGGTGGTCCCTGCTGAGTTTCCTGTCTTGTTCTTTGTTGCCTCTCCCAACACTGCTGCTTTTTTTGAGGAATGTAGCATCCACTGCGGCTGGCCACACTGAGGCCCCTCTGGGAACCGTGATGCCTCTCCTCCCACCCAGCGCTCTGGCAGCTCTTCCCACCGAGTGCACCTGCAGCATAAGGCATGCTTGTCTAGTGCCCTGGCCAGGGCCCAGGGAGCAAAGATGCCTGGGGAGCTGAGGGCTTGGAGACTGCTGCCTCCCTCGGCTGGAGCCACCTCCTTCCTACAAGCAAGACAGGAGGAGGTCTGAGTTCCCAGGGTTGCTGGCCAGATACCTTAGAGGGAAGTTCCGCTACCTCCCTTAGCACTGCCCTTCACCTCTTATCTCCCTCCACGCCAGCTCACTCTGACATGCTGAAGGAGCTCTCCCAGTGGACACAGGAGGCGTGGGCGGAGCCTCTGAACATCCAGGAGGCGGCCCTCAGAGGGGATGTAATCTGCCAAAGCAGACAGTCCTCCCCAGGCTGTGAGGGTGGCCCTGTCCCCAGCAGGGCTCCTCCAGCTGGAGCCTGGTCTGCGAGGGGTGCTGAGGGGGGCTGTCTGCTGCGAGAAGAAGGTGAGGGTTGACAGGCTCGAGCCACTGCTGAGAATCCTGTCTGACATGTGGGGACTGGCTGCCTGAAGTTAACCGTTTAGGGCTGTACTTTTTGTTCGTGTCTAGGCCAGAGTTGCTGTCTGGGAGACTCATGTGGGCCCCAGCATCCTGGCTCGACTGCCACTGTCACCAGCTCTGTACAAGCAATACTCGCCTCCCCGCTCCTGCATTCCGCTGCCCTCTGGAGAGCAGCCTAGGCACCTGCCCTGCCTCTGCTGTCACTCCACCCACCCGGATGGAGCGTCCGAAGCTGCTCAGACTCTGACTTGATCTGACAGTGGGGCCCTGCGGGTGGGGCCAGTGCCTGGACCTTGTGAGGTGTCTGCTGGGAACCCTGGAGTCCGGCTCAGGAATGCTTAAGTCTGTCCCTTTCCCCACCTCAGGTCCAGGGTGAAAGGTGAGAGGCAGCCCAGGAGATGGATACAGCAGCCCTGGGGGCCGTGCGGTGGGGGGCGAGCTCTCTGTTTCTTCCCCAGGCGTCACCCCCCCCCCGTGCTGCAGTGACTCTAACCAGGCCACCTGCCGGAGGGGCTACCCAGGGACAGCCCAGAGTCTCAGAGCCGGAGTGCTCGAGCCATTTGTGACCGAAAAGGGACAGGCCTGGAGGGGGACTGTGAGAAGGGTAGGGGGGCGGAGGCTCTCTGGAGACACAGCCATCACCGCCAAAGGGCCTCCTGTTGGGGCAGGATCCACATTAGGCTGAAGCCGGAGCCCAGTGTTTTTCCTCCAAACACCAAGGGGCAGAAACCGGGCCCCCGTTGGTCCTGCCCGCAGACAGAGTAGGTGATACGATGAGCTCCTGGGCTTCGGTCTCCTGCCTGAGCCTCCGCTCTCATATCAAAGACGAGAAGCGTCGTGTGCATGGAAGAGAGGGGAGGCCACGGGGCCCTTTTCTCTTTCTGCAGAAACTCTCCCATTGTCGCGGCTGGCTGGTGCACGCATTTCTCATGTTTCTCGGAGGGAAGCAAAGGGCTCTGTGCTCTCGGGTCCGAGGGTGGGGAAGGGGAGGCACCTTTCTCACAGGACATTTTATGTCCTGTCCGTGATGCATACACCTCCGGAGAGGTCACCCTCGAGTGGGTGTGAAAATACACCCGGGGTGGTGGGATTATTAGTGACAGTGCAGGCATCAGCTGATGTCACACTGAATGGTTGATCCATGCAGCCACACCTGGGCTGGGGAGGAACATCACCCTCTTCCTCAAGGGGGCCCAGAGAGGCCATGAGAGAAGGTGGGAGCTGCCTGCAGAGAGGCCGCTGCCCCTGGCCTGGGGGACGAGGGAGGTCGGTTAGCACTGGGAAGTTCCAGCCAGAGGCAGGGCGACATGGGTTGCTAACTGAGCTGCCTGCAGTCCCCAGCTACCAAAACCCCAGGGGTTGGGCTACTCCACAATTCCACCTCTAATGGGAAGTAATTTCCTTGCAAGTTGATGCTGGGAATGAGTCTGTTTAACCCTTTGCATCAAGTAAGTGACTAATCCCCACTGGATTTTCCCCCAGGAGGGCAAAGTTGTGTGAGGCTGCTGTATGTGTGTGATGGTGACTGGCTGGATATAAGGGTCTGTTCCTCAGCATCCTGGACGCAGGGGGCCTGCCTGAGAAGCCGCTGGGACGTGAGCCTGTCCCAGAAGAGGGGGGAGCTCAAGCGTCACTCCTGGCCACCCCTGGGGTGGGGAGCATCTCTTCTTTGAGGAGGGGACGGTGGGGTAGGAAGGAATGTGACCTCCCAGGTTTCTCCCTAACCTGGGACCCAACTCACTGCCAGGGGCAGTATCTGGTCCAAACGCCCCCTTAGCCCAGGTGGAACTCGGAGCTGATTACAGACTGGGGCTCTGTCCTTCCGTCTTCCTCTGCTCTGGCAGGATCCGTGGAAGTTACAGCAGAGACAGAAATGGCCCTGCAGCGATGCCGGGCCGCAGGCAGGCCCCGTGACAATGATTCAGAGCATCTGTCTTCACATTTCGTCTCTGTTTGATCTGTCCCACTTCCTTCATAGACTGCTTCCCTACAGGGAAGTCTGTGATGGGCCTTCGGTATGAATCAGGCTCCACTAAATGGGCCAGGTCTCGGTTTGACAAGGGAGATGTGATCCTTCAGGGAAGAACCATCTCCAGAACTGCTCCCCGTGCAGTCTCCTCCACCCCCCAGCTCTCCTAGGGAAGGAACACTCTGAGGCTCTTGGAGTGCACCAAGTCCCAGGCTGCACTCCTGGCAAGTCCAGGACTGGCCGAGGCAGAACCTAGGAGCTGCAGAGAGGGGGCACCTGTGTACCTCATCACTCGTGGGATCACTGCCCCTTGCAGCGCTGAGGTCCAGCCCCTTCTCCCAGGGGCATCAATGCCTGGGCTCTTCTTCACTGCCAGCCTTGAGGAGAGCAGAAGCGCCCCCTTTTGAAGACGACAGGACACTCCAAGAGTACTTTGAAAATAAAATGTAGCACAATCTGACTGCGTTACAGGAGCCCTGGCACCCAACCAGGGTTCTTGCTCTTCACCCCGCTGCCCAGGAGACCTGTGCTCCTCCTCCCTACCCCCCCCCCAGGCCTCCACAGCTTCTAATACCTCTGATCCCCCATCTTCCTTTGCCCAGAAAGTAGCAGGGCTTCTGTAAGGCTGCTGTTCTCTTTCTCTGATTGCTCCCTGCACTGTGCAAACTCTGCAAAAAATTGCTGCCTTTGTTTGATATTGTAATGAGTTGTCCTTCACCTGGGTGGAGAGAGATGGCACGTCACTCAAGGCCAGGGGGTGGTCCTGCAGTATTTCTGCAGTGGCTGCAAGGAGATGGAAAAGAAGAGGCCCGCTGCCCTGCCGACCCCCACCTTTCTCTTCCTCTGCTCAGTGTTTCCTCCACTGTCCTGACATGTAAAGAGGGTCTTTAACATGCTGCTTCCTGTACTGCATTATCTGTCACTGGATGATCGGGGGGAGATGGGAATGTGGACTCTTGTCCCCCACGTTCTCCCTCCAGTCTGCTTTCACTCAGGTCAGAAGAGATTGGGGTAAAACAGCAATCACGAGTCAAGGGCAGGGGAGCGCCTCCTGATCAGGCGAGGCCTGATGGGGGCTGGATGGACCTGGTCTGGCTGGGAAAGGGTCATTCTGAAAGCGTGCCTGAGCATCTCAGAGCAATGTCAGTGATGCCAAAGAGAGCAACTTGGCCTCCTTGGGCACCAGTTCTGTGTAGGCCTGCCTGAGGGTAGGGCCTTGTTCTCTGACAAAGGGCTTAATCTTTCCATGTAGCAAAGCAACTCCCCCTCCCCCCAACCCTGAGCTCGGGCTTTTGTGGGCCCAGCGTGGCTGTGCCTGTGAGGGGAAACACACCAGAGAGAGAAACTGGCATTCTCTCAGGGGCCTAGACAGGCCGGTGGGGCCGCCGGGAGGTGCTCATTGAAAAGCGTAACTGCTTTGGCAAAACCCCCCAGTGCTCTGGTTGGCAACCTGGCCAGTGAGGTTGGGGTCTTGGGCTTCCCAAAGAGCTCACCCCAATGCCAGGCAGGGCCCCTGGGACTGGGTTCCAGAGAGCTTGGCTAACAGAAATGAGCCCTGGGAATCCCAAGAGCAACAGAGCATCCACCCCATTGGTCCATGGCCTGGACAGCTGGCAATGGACCATCAAAGGCTGTTACATAAAGTTTGCCAGAAACAGTGCCCATGTGCAAGACTCCTCACTCTTCTGTCTCCGCTTTCCCAGCTGCAAAGTCAGCGTGTTTGCTAGTGGTTCCATGGTTCCCTCCAGGTTTTAAAAGTCTGATCTGGAGCTGATGAGGGTTGCGAGACTGGCGCACCTGGCACCTGGTTCCATGGGCTGGTGTCTTCCGGCCCTGGGTGCAGGTCCCCATCTGTCCATGCCCAGTGCTGCTACTGGCAGGAACTCTCGGAAGCCTAGCAAATGCTCCCACCTCTTTGTGGTTTATTCTCTTATTCTTGTGTCCTGATGAGAGATAATTAAGAAGTGTCTACAGTGGACAATCTTCAAGGTGCTGATGTGATGTTACCACCTCAGCTGCATCCTGTGTAGGTCAGTATCCCCGCCAGCAGACGAGGCTGGGCCAGTCCTCACTGCTGCTTCTAGAATGACATCAGTGGGAGAGTTGAACACTGGAAAATTTTAAAGGAAATGCTCTCTGATGCATGGAGGGAGGGAATTTATTTCCCGTTCAAGTATTTTGCTTCTTAAAACCACTCCTCTCTCCAGAATGCCTTTTAGCAAACATGTCAGCAGGCAGAGTGACTGCTTCCATAGCAAAAGTTGGCCTGATTGTTCTATCCACCCCTTTAGAATATAAATTCGCAGGAGGCAGGAACCCTTTTTTTTTTAGAATATCCAAATGCATCCCACAAAAAAAGAGATAGCTGATAGGGACTGACAAGCACACTGTTCAGGTAAGAAGCAATTAGCTTTTGACATCTGTGCTCTATACATTTTCTGTGTGCAGCGTCTTTCCAAACTGGTTGCGGCTCCTGGGGGGTAGGTGGACAGCTGGGAAGGATTTGCTGGCCGTTTGTACAATGTTCTTGCCAATTCCCTTGAGGAGAAAATTCTTCACATGGCTTCTGCATGTACAGTATTTGAGCAGCGCAAAAAAATAAATAAATAAAGTCAGTTTGAAAACAGTTTTGTGTGTTGCTTTCTGAAGATGGTCCTTAATGCTAGGAGGGCCAACACAGGGCTCCGGGGACTAACACAAGGAGAAAGGGGTTCCTTGACCGAGAGGCAGGAGAGAGCAGTGCCTCTCAGGAAAAAAGGCCTGAAAAACATAGGACCTGGGCTTCTGACTCCAGCCTCGGAACCCTGTTGCCCCTGTGATGCCCTGGGGCCATGGGATCTGACTAGTGCAGGCAGCTTGCAGGCTCTGCCTCCAAGGGTCCCTGTTTGTAGGCCCTCAAAGCCTTCTCCCCCCACAGACTGCACACCCCAGGGATGCCCAGAGCCAAATGGAGTCGAATGTGAGATGGAGCTAAGGGCACTGCGCGTGACCCACTCCCACTGTTCAGTCCTTTCAGAGACCTTGTGTCTAGCAGTGCTGCTCAGGCTTGTGACTGGGGCTGTCTCACTTTGTTCACACCTGATCAAGCGGTAAACATAGCAGCTGACCTCCAGGGCTGTGAACTGCATCCATCACTAATCCTTGGAGCACCCTTGCTTCAGGAAGGAACAGAAAGGTGTGTTAACATTTAACCACTTCTGGGTGGTGCTGTTTCCTCCTCCGGTTGGGTCTAGGGGTCCAGCAGATGGGTAAAGGGAGTGTAGCAGTCAGAGCTCTTGTGTGGTAGGAAAAGGCTGGCATTCTCCCGGGCAGGAGCCCTCCAGCTGGCCTCCACCGTGGTGGCTCTGGCCCTTGGCCCTGCAGTTCCAGGGGGCACTGTCTCAAGGGAAGGCTCATGAGACCTATATCTGATGCTCCCCAAGGTTGTGTTTTTCCACGTTTGCTTTCTCCCTGAGATATATCCCACACACTCGCATGTTTAAGAGTTTTCAAGCTTCTAGACAGCAATGTTCCTCACCACCCCCCCAAAAAAAGGGAAAGAAGGTAGACAACAAAAACAAATCCAGAGAAGAAATTCTAAAGGATTTTCTTTAGAAAGAAGGAATATAGAATGTACTTCACAGGGTTATTGGGAGACTGAAATGAGAGTTTGTTGAGAGTGCTCAGAACAGTACCTGCCACATAGTAGATGCCCTTTGCTACTAGTCAGGAAGATGATCCTAGATGGGAGGGCTGACATACACAAAGGAAAAGTGAGTAAGGAAGTGGGTTTTTTAAATTAGCAAATATTAACGTGCTTATATCGTAAAATATAATGTTTCATTTGTGAAATTAAAAAATATAAGCATGAGGACTTCCGCCAAGATGGAGACGAAGGTGGAACCACCTTGCCTCTGTGCACAACCAAATCTAAGAACAACTATTTTTAACAACAATAAACACAACCAAGCCACACAGAAAATCGACAATACGGAGTCCGAAGACAACGAAATAAATGTTCAGCTAAACCGGTAAGAGGAGCGAAGCCAGCAGCGGAGCAGGTTGGCAAGAAAAAATCCCCGAACGGGTGGTGCGCGGTGCATGAGCAGCCGAAGGCGCTGATCGCGGGCTGGCTACGGGAGAACGCAGGGAAGAGGTGGGGCGGGCCGTCTGCGGTAGGTCGCGCATCTGCGTCCGGATAAACCAGTGAGGAGGAAAGCCTGCGCGGGGAAGCAGGCTAGCACAATTCCGGTCGGATAAACAGGCCCGGGGCGAGTGGTGTGACTGGACGGACTGGGCTAGCGGAGAGGACTGCCATTGCTCCCTCTCTAACCACGCCCCCACACACAGCATCACAAACCAGCGACCTGGGTCGACCCGTCCTGGTAAACAACCAAGGCTTTGCTCCGATTACTTAACGGCACGAATAGACCAAAAATGGCTCTAGGACAACTCAGAGCTCCAGAACCCATAGATCTAAGCGATGAAGAAATAGCCAGTCTTTCAGATGCACAGTTCAAAACACTGGTTATCAGGATCCTTACAGAACTGGTTGATTTTAGCCACAAATTAGAGAAACATATGGAAGCTAAACTAATTGAAATGAATGGTAATACAAAGGAAACCAATAGTAATGGAAAGGAGATTGGGACTCAAATCAAGGGAGTGGACCAGAAGGAAGAAAAAAATGATCAAACAGAAAAGAATGAAGAAATAAGAATTCAGAAAAATGAGGAGAAGCTTAGGAACCTCCAGGACATCTTTAAACGTTCCAACATTCGAATTATAGGGGTACCAGAAGGGGAAGAGTCACGAGTGGAAACCTTATTTGAACAAATAATAACAGAGAACTTCCCCATTCTGGCAGAGGAAATAGACTTCCAGGAAATCCAGGAAGCTCAGAGAGTACCAAAGAAGTTGGACCCAAGAAGGAACACACCAAGACACATCATCATTACATTAGCCAAAATTAAAATGAAGGAGAGAATCCTAGAAGCAGCAAGAGCTAAGGGGACAGTCACCTACAAAGGAGTCCCCATCAGACTGTCAGCTGATTTCTCAAAAGAGACCTTACAGGCAAGAAGGGGCTGGAAAGAGGTATTCCAAGTCATGAAAACCAAAGACCTAGAACCAAGATTGCTCTACCCAGCAAAGTTTTCATTTAGAATGGAAGGACAGATAAAGTGCTTCTCAGATAAGATCAAATTCAAGGAGTTCATCAGCACCAAGCCCTTATTATATGAAATGTTAAAGGGACTTACCTAAGAAAAAGAAGATAAAAAAGATGAACAGTGAAAGGACAGCAAACTCACAGTTAGTAACAACCACACCTAAAACAAAAGCAAACTAAGAGGACAGCTAGATCAGGAGCAGAACCATAGAAATGGAGATCACATGGAGGGTTAGCAGCAAGAGAGTGGGAGGAGGAGAAGGGGGGAGAAGGTACAGAAAATAAGTAGCATGGACAGTAGATAGAAAATAGATAGGGGGGAGGGTAAGAATAGTAGGGGAAATACAGAATCTAAAGAATTTGAGACACGTGTTCATGAACTAAAGGGGGGAAATGGTGGGGGAGGGGTATGCAGGGTGGAGGGGAATGAAGGGGGAATAGAACAAATGTAATGGCATAATCAATAAAAAATTTTTAAAAAATATAAGCATGAACTAAAATATTATGTAGTAATAGCATAGAAATTGGTCCTTGGAATGTTCTTGAGGAGAATAAAGACATTGAATAACCTCAATCTTCCTTAAATATCCATTCTAAAATCTAGAGTAAATACTAAGAAGCTAGAACTAGTAGATGCAAAGATTCTATATACAAGCTATGAAACCATGTATTAAAAAAACCATGATAATCAAGTGGTATTTATCTCAGGAATGCAAGGATGGTTCATTATTATCACAAAAATTTATAGCTATAATTCACCACATTAATAGGCTAAAGGAGAAAAATCATTAGTATCCTAATGTAGAAAGGATTTCAATAAGGTTTAATCCTATTTATAATAAAAAACACTTAGCAAATAGAAGGTAACTTTCTTAATCTGATGAAAGTCATATACCAAAAAATCTACAGCAAACATTATGTTAATGGAAACACTGTAGACATGCTCTTTAAAATTAAGATCATACAAGGAGTCCCACTATCATTGCTACCACTGAGCATAGTTCTAGGATTCCTGTACAGAGCCATAAAGAAAAAAAGAAGAAGTGTAAGAACTGAAAGAGAAGGAATAAAATTGTAATTTATAGATAATTTGATCACTAGTTTTTAAAAAATATTTAATTTATTTATTTTTCGAGAGAGGGGAAGGGAGGGAGAAAGAGGGAGAGAAACATCCATGTGTGGTTGCCTCTCATGCGCCCCCTACTGGGGACCTGGCCCACAACCCAGACATGTGCCCTGACTGGGAATCAAACCCACTACTCTTTGGTTCACAGGCCAGTGCTCAATCCACTGAGCCACATCAGCTAGGGGACTACCTAGTTTTTAAGAAACAGCAAGGTTGCTGTGTACAACATCACCTTACAAAAGTCAAGTGAATTTTTCTATAACAGCTATAACTAATAAACAATACACAGATATTATACATAAGAGCAATTTAAATGATTAAGTAGGGATTGTTTGAGAACATATATAATCTCTATGGATAGAATTTTCACTCTAATAACAGAGTTGATGATCTGAATAAATGAAGAGACATTCCCCATTCTTGGGTGAGACAATCTAATATAAAAATATTAACTTCCCCAAATTAATCTATAAACTCAATGTAATCTAAATAAAATTCTATTAATGGTTAAATCAACTTCTGTTGAAACAAAAGATGAGCAAAGTTGCTGACTGACACATGTATATATGAGAAATTAATATGTGACAAAGGGGCACCTTAAAACAATGGGGGAAATGGATTGTCTTCCTAAAATACGTATTAGCACAACTTGTTCACTATCTGGACAAGAGAAAATCCCTGTCTAAACCAAAATACAAAGAGAAGCCCTGGGAATCAGGGGAGAGAGGCGGGCATGGCTGGGGTTGGGGGGGATAATGCAGACAACTGTACTTGAACAACAATAAAATTTAAAAAAAATACTTTTAAAAAAGAAAAGTCCTAGATGGTTTAATATATTCAAAGGGAAAGGTAAAATGTAAAACTGATACAAGAGAAAGTAAGAGGAATATTTTTGTGAACCAAGGGCAAGAAAACACTTTTAATATTTCAAAAGCACAAATCATACATTAAAAGTTGTGTAATGTGATTACATTAAAAGTAAAGATTTACATTTAATGAACGGCATCATGGACAAAAGTTAACGAACAGATTACAGAATAGTAATTTACAAGGTCAAAAAATGGCGAGAGATTAGCAGCTACAATATACACAAGAAAGTCCTGCAAAGCACCATAAAAAGACGACAACTTCCATGGGAAAAAATGGGCAAAGGGAATGAACGAGCAAACTTCAAAAGCTAATAAGCACATGAAAATAGCTTCAGAATCATTATAATCAGAGAAATGCCAATTAAAACAATACAATAATGAGATATCACTTTATGCCTACACTAGATTGGCAAAAATTAGGAAATTGAATGATGCTCGATGATGACAGGGAC